AATTGAGCTATGATTAATTTCTGGGTGTTTTTTTTTTTTAAGACATCAAGATTTTTGTTTGCTTGCTTTGGTTTTGCTTATGAATGTTTCAGCACCTTTTTTTGTTGAAAACACTGCATTTCTGAATTGCTTTTAGACCCTTGTCACAAACTCAGTTGACCCTCTGTATGCAGTCCTCCTCCTCTACTCTGTTTCCTTGGCCTGTGTCCCTTACTTCACTAACTTGCACTCTTTGGAAAACTAAATCTTAAAACTGGTAGTGTGATTCTTTCTACTGTGTTCTTGTTTTTCAAAATTGGTTTAACTATTTTATTTCCTTTGCCTTTCAATATAACTTTCTGAATCCATTTGTCTACATTTATGAGGAATCCAGCTGGGATTTTGATGAGATGTGAGTTAAACCTATAAGTCAAATTGGAAGAATTGACATCTGTACCATGTTGAGTGTCCTGGTTCATCAACATTGTCTGCACCCCTCCATTTATTTAAATCTTCTTTGAGACCTATTTCACTAGCATTACATTTTTTTTGGTAGCAATACAAAGGCTGCTGTGTACTTAATTTTGGTTTCCATTGTTCATTGCTAACATATGGAAATATATGCCTAATAATTATAGGACTATTCACATTTTTTAGTTAGTTAATAGGAATACATGTGGGAGATGCAGTGTTAGTTGGCTCTGTGTGTGTAAGTCACAGAGTGTACAGTCTATCACTGACCAGAATGGCCTTGTATTGCACAAGCTGCATCTTGTGTGTTTTTTTAGTTGCTTATAGAGGGGTGTAAATCCAGCCCTTTCCTGTGACTGGATATGCATTACAGCTATGCATCTACAGGTACTCAGGAAACCTCAGGGGGCAAGAGTGGCTGTGGTTGTCATTCCACACTTTAAAGGATTCAGGTATTCCTACTGGTGTGCTCCAAGAAGAGGAAAGTGACATGTGGAAAAGATACAAGTACTCACTCGCTGCAGTACTGTGTACAGTAACTAAGACATTGAACCAACTCGTGTCCACCCAGAGGTGAAAGGACAAAGGAAAGATGGTAGAGATGCACAGTGGAGTGTAATTCAGCCATAAAAATGAACAAAATACCGTTTGTAGCTATGTGTGTGGAACTGAGGATATAGTGTTGAATGAAATGTCATGAAAAGGAACACAAGTAGCACATGTTCACGTGTTCTTTCTTCTATGTAGAAGCTAAAAAGTAAATTTCAAAGAAATAGAGAATAGAACAGTGGTTCCCAGAGCCTGGCTGGGTATGAGGAACAGGACTGCGGAGAAGATGCACTGGAAAGATGTTCTATAGCAAAGTAAGTAATTATGGGTGACAACAATTAATGGAATATTTTGGAATTACTAGTAGAGAGGATTTTGAATGATTCTAGTACAAAGAAATGACAAATGTGTGAGGTGATAGATGTGCCCATTACCCTGAGCTGACCACATTGTACTTATGTATTGAAATGTCACACTGTGCCCCCTGAATATGTACAGTTACCATGTACCAACAAAAATAAAAATGTACTTAAGCAAAAATCAGAAGAAGTATTAGAACTATTTCTGGTTTTTGGAGGAATGTACTAAATTGGTGGCTTGATTGCTTTTCCCGGTGATTAATGATGTTGAACATTTTTATGTATACTTGTTGGTCATTTGTATGTCCTCTTTGTAGAAATGCCTCTTCAGGTCATTCACACATTTTTAAATCAGATTTTGTTTTTTGTAATGGAGTTGTTTGAGTCACTTACATATTCTGAAAATCAGTCTCCTCTCTAGAGATTGTGATGGGTAAGCTTGAATGTGCCAGCTTGATCAGCTGGAGGCTCATCCAAGGAAATAGAGGAACACACTATTGGGTGTCTCTGGGTAGGTCATGGCGGTGTCACCTTGGGTGCCATATCTGATCCTTGTGACCCTTCTTGTCTGGGATTGTTACCCTGCTTGCTTCCTTTCTGCCATGAACTAAGTATCTTCGTTCTGTCACATCTGTCTACCATGATATTTTTGCCCACCACGATGAGTCTGCCAACACTGGACTGAATCCCCCAAAATCATGAACTAGTTTAACCTCTCCTCCTTTAAGTTGTGGGTACTGGGTGTTGTGTCCCAGCAATGGAAAAGCTGAACATTACAGGTAATAGCTTGCAAATATTTTTCGCCTATTCTGTTGGTTGTCCCTGAGCATTGCTGGTCATTTCCTTTGCTGGGCAGAAGCTTTTTGGGTTGATACAATCCCATTTTTCAGTTTTTTCTTTTGTTGCTGGTGCTTTTGAGATCTCATCAGAAAAATCCTTACCTATTCTAGTCTTTCTCTTGTTTTGTTTTGGTAGTTTCATAGTTTTGGGCCTTATACTTTTGAGTTGATTTTCGCATATAGTGAGAGCTAGAGGCCTGTTTTCTTTCTTCTGCATGTGAATATCAAATTTTTCCAGCACTATTTGCTGAAGAGACTTTTTTCCCCAGTGTATGCTTTTGCTACCTTTGTAGAAAATCAGTTGACTAAGGACACAGTTTATTTCTGGGTTCTCTACTCTGTTCCATTGGTCTACATACCTGTTTTTTTTTTTTGCTTTGTTTTTTGTTTTTGTTTTGATGGTACCAGGGATCAAACTCATGACCTTACACTTGCCAGGCAAGCACTTATTCCATTGAGCATCTCCCTGACCTCCAGTACCTGTTTTTATACTAGTACCATACAGTTTTTTGTTAGTATGGATTTGTAGTATGTTTAAAGAGCAATTATTGTAATGTCTTCAGTTTTGTTCCTTTTTTTGAATCAGTACAGTTTACTAGGTACTAGGTCATGCAACATGGCTCACAAAAGCGATGGGAATTCCAGTGACGTGGTGTAGTAGGGTGGTTCCTTTTACCCAAATGGAGACAAGATACGTTCCCACAGGACTGCCCACCTCCCAACACAAGACACACAGACTGTAAGACTCTCTCGACGTGGCATGTACTGGCTCCATGGGCACATGGTTTAGTGGCACTGACCCACCCTGACAAGATGCCAGGCCAAGGTGGGTGCTGGGACAGGAGGAAGCCGGGACGCCATGTCCACTCTCGCCCCACAGGCCATGGTCCAGGAGCGGAGTCTGACAATGTCTGCTGGTGATAATATACTTCACCCAGGGGAGGTGACTCCAAGGCTGGGCTTTGGAGGCCCTGAAGCCCTGTCTGGTGGTGTGACTTTCATCTGTGCAAACAGACAACCTGGCTGATGGTCACTGATGGTAGAAATGGATGTTGCTGCACTTAGTTTTGTTCCTTTTTGTTCAGAATTGCTTTGGCTATTTGAGGTCTTTCTTATTTCTACATAAATTTTAAGAATGTTTCTGTTCAGAAGAACGTCATTTGTATTGTAATAGGAATTGCAACATGAGACATCTTTCAGTTTTTCTGTGTTTTCTTTTCAATGTGTTTTATAAATATTTTGTAATTGTAGATTAAATTATTCACTACCTTGATTAAAGTTATTCCTTTGTTTTGTGTTAGCTTGTTTGAGGCAGCAATTGTACATAGAATTGCTTTCTTGATTGCTTTGTCAGCAATTTTTATTGGCATATAAAAGGTAATGACTTGGGATGTGATGGGTTTTGTATTCTGCAATCTTACTGAATTTGCTTATCAGTATTAATAGTTTTTTGTAGAGTATTTGAGGTTTTCTGTATGTAAAATCACATCATCTGTGAGCAGACATAATTTGACATGCTTCTTTCCTATTTAGATTTTCTTTCTTTCTTTCTTTCTTTCTTTCTTTCTTTCTTTTATATTACTTCTTTGGGTCACTGTTCTAACACTGTGTTAAGAGTGGTGAGATGGATTTCTGAAGTGGGCTTCCTCCTATTGTCTTGTTCAGATGAAATGATTTCAGCTTTTTTCACTTCGGTATGATGTGGGCTCTAAGTTTGTTATATATAACTCTTACTGTATTGAACTATGTTGCTCTATACCTTATTTTTTTTGAGGATTTTACCATGAAGGATATTGGATTTTACTGAATGCTTTTTTATGTGCCTGTTGAAGTGGTCTTTTTGTTTTTATCTTTTATTGTATTGATGTGATGTATTTTTATAGATTTGGATACATTGAACCGAACCTTCATTGTATTTCTGAGATAAATTCCACTTAATCATAGTGGGTAATCTTTTTGTGTTATGTTGGATTTGGTTTGCTAGGATTTTATGAAGAATTTTTGCATCTGTGTTCAGGGATCTAAATCAGTTTTTTGTCATGTCTGTCTCGTTTTGGTATTAGAGTATTAGGGCTAATGCTGGCCTCATAGAATAAGTTTGGAATAGTTATCTCCTTTCAATACTTCAGAATAATTTAGGAAAAATTAGTGTTAGGTGTGGTTTTTTGTTTTTGTTTTTGTTTTTTTTTTGCGGAACCAGGGATTGAACACAGGCCCTTGTGCTTGCCAGGGAAGCGCTTATTCCAGTGAACCATCTCCCTGGCCTAGGTTTTTTTTGTTTCAACAGTGAAGCCTGAAATTTTCATTGTTAAGAAAGATTACTTGGCTGACACTGACAAAGGATCTACAATCTGAGGTACAGGATCTCAGGATAAATCCTGAGGGGATTTGACTGGCCTTATCAGATACAAAAGCTACAACTCTTGTTGCATAGGTCTTGCTTTATCTTGGTCTTAACCATCCAGCAGAAAAGTATAAAAATGAAGCACAAGAAGTAAAGCCATGGTGTTATGTTGAGCTGTAGGGGACTCAGGTCAACAATTTCTGACATTACCAGTCAAGCGGAAGAGCCAATACTATTATGGACTATTGGACTCTTTTAGAATATTTTTGCTGAGTTAACACACCTATAATATTCAAATGACGGAACTAAACAAAAAAGGGGATATGTAAATGAATGTCTTTTGTATCTGTGTATTCAAAATGGTTAGGATAGATATATAGTTACAGGGTGGTTAGCTCCTTGCGAGGCCGGAGCTGTGGCCCCCCGCTCGGCGCCGCAGGGATGCTACTGTGGCCGGCTATGGGTGGCCGGGACCTGTGGGCCGAGCTGGACTCGCTGCTCCTGCAGCTGCTCAGCGACCTGGAGGAGCTGGAGACGAAACGGGCGGCGCTGAACGCCCGGGTGGAGGAGGCGCGCTACGCCATGGGCGCCAAGTCGGTGGGACCCCTGCAGTACGCCAGCCGCATGGAACCGCGGGTCTGCGTGCGAGCCAGCGAGGACCGCGACGGCCGCCGCACGTTCAGGGTGGTGAGCACTGAAGCCCAGACCCCCGAGGAGCTGGGGCCTCGAGAGGCGGGTCTGCGCAGGCGAAAGGGCCCTTCCAAGATTCCAGAGCCAGTGCTCTCTGCTCCACAGGACCCCCTGAACTGGTTCGGAATTCTTGTTCCTCAAAGTTTGCAGCAGGCCCAAGCCAGCTTTCAGGATGGCCTTCAGCTAGCTGCAGATATAGCCAGCCTCCAGACGCGCATTGACCGGGGTCAAAGCCAGTTTCAGGGGCTACAGGAGAAACTCAAGCAGCTGGAGTCTGGTGCTGCCTGACCTGTGTCCACAGAGGTGGACGCTGAGCACTGCTGCCCTGGATGTGGCTGCCTTATCTCAGGTCTTTCTCTTCAGCCCCTCCTCCTACCTGTACTCTAGCTAATGCCCTGTCTTAAAGTGTTTCCCACTGCAGTGTTTCTAAGTTTGCAAGGTACGAAGTTTGAAAAGGCAAACTGAGTAATGCTGAAAGCCAAGTACTCCTGAAAGCCACTTCTAGGCCCAAGGTCTCCTAGGCCCCAGGGAACAGGGAACAGGGAGAGGGCTGCTCCTGTAGATCAACAGTGGAAGACCTCAGATCACTCAGCTGTGACATGGTTCCCAGGTAATGAAACACTGTGAACTGTGGAGGCAAAGGACAAGAGGGAACATTTCAGGGTCTCCAGATCATCAGAACCAACATGGATGCAAAGAACAACCTGACAGCCAGACAGGGTGCGTCAGTCAGTGCAAGTCCAGCCGCTGGGTGTGGTGATGCGCATCTGCACTCCGGCTACTTCAGAGCTAAGTTAGGAGAATTTTTCACTGACAGCTCCAGTGAGGGATCAGCCTGGACAACATAATGAGACCCCCATATCAAAACAAGAAGAAGAGCAAGACAAAACAAAAACTAGATGAGTAGATGGGCAGTCCTCAACAAGGTCTAAACAAGAAATAAAAGCTCTGATTAGGTTTTCCAGGGAACTCTGAGAAGAGACCCTGCAGCTTTATACGCCTGCTTTTATCTTTCCTGGAGTTCGTGTTTCTGTCTTTGTGTGTTGAAGGGCCAGTTGTGCTTCCTGCTCTAGAACTGGTCCTTGCTTGACTTTCCTATTGTGTTGTTGTGTAGTAGTTTCTGGCAGGTCTCTGGTATAGGTGGTTCTGTAATCCTGTTTGTTTACCATGAAGTGTAGTTTTTCCCAGCTCATTCTTTCGTTTGTAATGTTTAAGAATTTTCTACATCGCAAAATAAAAAAGGAAAGCCTGTGTTTTGAAAAAAAAAAAAAAGATATATAGTTACATTCTCTTTATGAATAGAGGGATTTGTTGTAATAGTGTTTGTAAACAGGATATCATGTCTGCATCTTGTACAGCAAATAACCACTAGGAAGACAGTATGCAATGTGTTAATTATTGGAACTATCCTACCAATTTGATTTGAAACTGTCTTATTGCTATTTGTCTGTCAATAAAATTATGGAAAAAAAATTTAAAAAGTAAAAAAAAAAGAAAGATTACTGATTTAATTTCAGTCCTTGTCTTTTGGTCTGTTTGGGTTTCTTTTATATGAGAAATCCAAAATATAAATAAAGAATAAAATGAAAGATAGACAATAAGAAATAGGGAGATAGATCTTTTGCAAGTGGGAGAGAGGAGGTTGGGTGGGGAGAAGGGATGATAAAGAATAAAGATGTGTTATATGTGTGAGCCAACTTCCCATGAGGATGTAATCATTATATACTGCAAACATGTACTAATACAAAATAAAAATTGAAAAAAATTAACTATTCATATATATTGATCACATATTGTATATAGTTTTTTAAGTTGCATTGTTTGATTATTTGAAATATCATATCCTTCACTTTCAGTACTGCTTTTTGTGTATCCCATAGGTTCTGGTATGTTCTACTTTCATTGATTCAAGAAAATTTTAAACTTCCCTTTTGATTTCTTCATTCAAGAGAATGCTTGATTTCCATGATTGGTACAATTTCTAAAGTTTCCTTTGTTGATTTCTAGTGTTATTTCATTGTAGCTAAAGAATGTACATGCTGTGATTTTTAGTTTTTTCTTTTGGTTTGGCTTGGTTGGAAACTTGTTTTGTAGCCTAGCATATGATCTACTCTGAAGAACACTCCATTCTGTAGCTGTTGAGTGAAATGCTCTGTAAGTGTTTGTTAGATTCACTGGATCTAAGGTACCGTTTAACTCTAGTGTTTTCTTGCTGATTTTTTTGGAGTTAGTCATAATTTCTGTCTCTGCTTACAGTTTTTGATTTAAAGTCCATCTTATCTGATATAAGAATAATTTCCTGCTGATTTTTGGTTTCCACTTGGATGGTACATGTGCTTTTCCATCTGTTCACTTTTCAGTCCATGTATCTCCTACAGAAGTGAGGTTCTTGTGGGCAGCATATCATTAGGTGTTGTTTTTGATCCATTTGACCAGTCTGAATCTTTTAATTGGACAGTTTAATCCATTTCCAGTTAAGGTTGTTATTGCTAAGAATATACTTTTGTTATTTTGTTCATTTTCTTTTCTTTTTTTGTATGAATTGCTGAACCACTATGGCAATCTAACATGGCTGAAGCCCCAAAACAGCAGCATATCTTCCCAATGACCACTTCCCCCATCTTCTCCCCTCAGCCCTGAATACAGCTTCTTACCCTTTTTGTGCTGAAAGAAAAAGCCCAATCAGCTTCTAATGCGTCACTGAACCTGCCCTCAAGCTCCACCCCTAGCAAAAGCCCATTTAAGCTTCGCAGCTCCCTTTGTCTCAGGCCAGAGGAGCCCTGCCATTTCCCTGTGGGCCTCTCTGTAGCCTCCATAAAAGCCATGTCCCTGGCCCTTCTTTCTTTTACTTCTAATATAGGATTCCCTTAAGCATTTCTTGTAGGGCTACTCTGGTGTTGATATATTCCTTAGTTTGTTTTTTTTTTTTTTTTTTTTGTATTTTAGGGAAGGGTCTGCAGCGTGTTCAGAGTCTCACTACTAGATCGGACTCATAGTGATATGCCTGTTTACAGCCTCCCAAGAGCTGGGATTACAGGCATGCCGCCATGCCCAGTCTAAATTGGCATCTCAGTGCACCCTGGGGGCGGGGCTGGCATGGCCGGCTTGGGGATTGAGCGCCTGGCCCGTGCACCTGCTTGCAGGCGCTTTAATCCTCTGAGCTATTTGGCCAGCCCTATTCCTTAGTTTTTGCTAATCTTAAACAGTATTTATTTCTGCAGCTTTTTTTTTTTTTTCAGAACTGGGGATTAAACTCGGGCCCTTGCGCTTGCCAGGCAAGCGCTTATTATACTGAACCATCTCCCTGACCCCCCATCTGCAGCTATTTTGTTGAGGAGGCATTCTGTGTCTTTTCTCTGCTCCTCTCTTCTTCTGAGACTCCACTAATGCAAATGTTTCCTTGCTTAGTGGTGCCCTGTAAGTCCCAAAGTCCTTCTTCATTCCTTTAAAATTTTTTATCTAACTAGGGTATTTCAAAAGACCTATCTTTAAGCCCAGAAATTATTTCTTAGTTGGGCATGTTGGTATCCCAGCCCTTAGGAGGCTGAGACAAGAGGATCATTGTGAGTTCCAGACCAGCCTGGGTTCTCCACTGTACTTTTATTTCATTTTTGAGTTCTTTACCTCCATGTCTTATGCTTTTTTAAATTATGTTTCTCTGCTGAATTTCTCATTCATAGCATGAATTATCTAATTTTGTTGTATTGTCTTTTGTTATTCTTTTATATCTCAGTAAGTTTTCCTAAAATCATTCTTTTAAATTTCTTACTAGACAGTTCATTAATTTTCTGTCTTTCAGCTCTGTTGTTAGAGAGCTGTTGTGTTCCTTTGCAGGTGTCACACTGACTTTTGGGGTATGTATGCACCTGTTAGGTGAGCTGTCTCCATCACTTCTATAGGGTGGCTCTTGTAGTAGAATGTCTGCTGGCAATGTGCTTAAAAGCACCTAAAGGTTGCCCTCTGCTAGCTGGGTGTTTTTTGGATGTGCTGGGTTGGCCTTAGTCCCAGTTGTGAATTTTAGTGCTGTGTCCACATAGCTTCTTTAGCTGTAATTAGTATTTGCACTATTTCTAAGTGCTGCAGGGGTCGTGGGATGGCACACAGCTAGGATGAATTTCCCTTGGTGGGGCAGGTTCACTGTCAATTCAGGGTGTGGTGCCCCCACTGCAGGTGTGGGATGTTTGGTTGTTTCCATAGGCTGTGGGTAGGTGGTACCCTGATGATTGTGATGCTACATGCCTGGTAGAGGATTGGAGTGCCTGTCAGTGACAGAGGACTGTGTGGGTGACATTTTAGAATCTCTTGGTGACACCTGGTCAGCTGCTTCAAGGGGCTGAGGTGGGTGGGCTGGAGCAGTAGTTTGCTCAGGGGCTCTGTGGGCCAAGCTTCTGAGGACAGGGGCTCTACTGCATCCATGCTACAAGGCCACCTGGTAGCTTCTGAGGGGAGCTGAGTGGCTCAGGGTAAGTTCCCTGGCTGCTTTCCAGGGCTAAATTGGGTGATCAGGGCCTTTTGTCTGCTTTTGGGCCAGTAGAAGAATAGGCAGGGCCACCAGTTTTCAGGAGTCCCCTCAGCCAGGCTGCTTAGAGTTGGCTTCCCTGGATGGCAGGGCAGTTGGCTACCTGGCTCTTTGTAGGAACCTGGGTGGTGAGTCTCAAGATGGCTCTGTGCAGCAGGAGCTTGCGTCATCCTGGGCCCTGTTCTCTAAGCAGTGCAGTGGTGTGATTGCCCACAGTTCACCAAAGTGGAGCCAGGCCTTCAAAGGCTGCATGATTCTCCATAGTAAAACCTTCAGGTGTCTGTGGCAGGAGTAGGGACTACTTACCCCCGAGAGTGACGTCCCTCAAGTTGAGGGCTGATCTTGAGACAGAGGACAACAGGTGAAGTGTGCTGGCTTGTCTTCTCAGAAGACCATTGGGTATCTCTGAGTACCCCTTCTTCCAGATCACTGGTGTGCCCCCAACTCTTGTGGACCCCTGTAACCCCTTTCCACCAATTCCCTACAGACCCCTAGAGCCCCTGTTTTTCACTTGTTTGGACCCCTGGACACCCCTGCCTCATGCTGATAAGTGAACATAGGTATAGAGAACACAGCTGTGTAGTGGTAGCCCCACACTTATCCAGCTGCACCAGCAACCCTTGGAGAGTCTCACATGCTCAACTCCATGCCTCTCCTAAGTAGAAGGCCTACCTGCTGAGGGCTATGATGCTGAAACTAGTTTGAAGTCACTGAGGTCATGCCTGCACAGTGTGCCTTCTTCATGTAAGATCAAACACCTGCCCTTAAGCTCCTTTCCTAGTTAGGAACTCTTTGTTGGCATTGATCCTAAATCTCCAGTTCTAATAGAAAACATATAAC